CTTTCCGATCTGTGCTTGCATAGAACATTCCTGATTAAGTGCTTATGTGATGAGTTGCTTAATTCAGCTGTTATTCGTCAACACCTTGAGCATTGTTCTGAGACATTGGCAGAGTTGCAGCAGAAATTGCGGTCTTTATCTGCAGAATGGAAGAATCTCAAGTCAAAAGAAGAGATCTTGATTGCAAAAGCTGCAAAGGTTGATCCAAGTCTCGAAGAAGATGGTGTAAAGGAAGGGCTTTCTACTTCGGTTGAAAACCATGAAAAAATTGTTCTTCAGGCACATGCTCTGAGTGGCAGGTCTAACTCCTTTAATGTAGTCTCCGATGATCTACCAGCACTAGAGGGTGCTCGAGGGTTAGATAAACACCCATCTGCCAGTAATGCAGAATATAGTAGCCAACATTCTGTAGATACTGAAGCTAGGGCAAAAGATGTCCATGCTGCTGTGCATGACACCAGTACACCAGGGAATGTTTCTTCAAATGCGGCTTCTGAGAAAAGTGACATATCCTCGAGACTAATTGAGTTCCCTTCATCAAATTCTTTGCCACATGAAATCAATGGCTCTATTGGAAAAATAGGTTGCCTTGGTCATCCACAAGACAATATGGAAATGGATGTATCTCTGCCTTTAGATCAGCAAGGAGTTTGTATCCCTTCAGATGTGAGGAGTAATCATGTGGGTCAGCACACGTCACCTGCTTCTGTGAATGAATCACAATCCTACCACCTTGAGTTGAATTCTGTCAAAAGTGAATTATCACTTTTACAGGATTCAATTACCAGTATAGACTTTGAGCTTTCAAAGCTGTCCGTACGAAGGGAGTTTCTGGGAATTGATTGTCTGGGTGGCTTATACTGGGCTTCGGGACATTCTCGGATTGTTGTAGATCGAACCGTGTCAGTGCAGGATGGGATGAATATGACAGATGGCAGAGACCCCGTCTGGAGGGGTTCTGTTATGCAAAGTTGTGCTTCAACTGGTGTGGATAGTTCTTTGCCGTTAGAGGGGTCTAAAGCTGGCTGTCCGTATTTATTTGAACCAAACAGTGCCGTTGCTTTTAGTGCACCTTGGGTTTCTTATCAAACTGATGCAGAAATTGATGAACTTATAGGTTGGTTGAAGGATAAACACCCCAAGGAAAGAGAGCTGAAAGAGTCGATATTGCAGTGGAAAAAGTCAAGGTTCCAAAAGTTTCAGAAAACTAGAAGCCAAAGTCAGGATGAGCTCCTAACTGCTATTTCAGTGGCTAGAAATGGTGAAAAAACTGAATCTGATTGTCTTGTTACTAGGGCAGCCACTTTGCTGGAGAAGATGTACGGTCCATGCTCAGAGTTGGAAAACACTGACATCTCAAAAAAGCGGGGTAAGAGGGCTAGACTAACCAATGATGAGAGAATGTACAGGTGCGAATGTTTGGAACCCATTTGGCCCAATAGACATCATTGCCTCTCTTGCCACAGAACCTTCGTCACTGATGCTGAACTGGAGGGGCATAATGATGGTAGGTGTGTTCCATTTTCAGCAGCCTGTGAGAAGGGAAAGGAAATAAGTGATTCTTCTAAAGTTAAGGGAAGTTTAAAGTGTGAGATAAATCGGGAAGATTGCAGAGGTGAACTAAACAGTGTTGAAAGTTCCAAAAGCATGCATTCTGAGCTTAGTGCGAAGTTGATAAAGTTTCAGAACGGAGGGTTAGTCTGCCCATATGACTTTGAAGAAATCTGCTCCAAGTTTGTGACAAATGATTCAAACAAGGATTTGATACAGGAAATAGGTCTTATAGGTTCACAGGGAGTTCCATCTTTTGTCCCATCCTTATCTCCTTATCTCAGTGATTCTACACTACAGTTAGTCACTCAGAAAGATGTCGGTGTGCACAGTAATGGACCAGGGGCTGCTGAACAGCTAGTTTTACAAGGAAAGACTAATGTTGATATTGCAGGCTGTAGCAGTCTATCCGGGAAAGGTGGTGGGTTGCTAAATGCCAACATCCCAACTTTGGGATGTCTGGAAAAAGGAGAGAAGAGACCCTCAGGTAGTCATTCTTCTGTTGTGGGTGCTGGTCGCTTCTGTGTGGTCCCCCAGTCTTCTTTGAGGCCCTTAGTTGGCAAAGTTTGTCAGATCTCTAGGCGACTCAAGATCAATCTACTAGATATAGATGCAGCACTCCCTGAAGAAGCTCTTAGACCATCAAAGTCACACTTGGAAAGGAGATGGGCCTGGCGTACGTTTGTTAAAGCAGCAGTGACAATATATGAAGTAAGTCTTTTATTCCCTCGATCCTTTCTTTAGATACTACTTTCATAATCACTACTAAAATTGTATTACTCTATGGAATACTTTCAGCATTTTAGATTAATCTTCTGTAAGCTAAATAACTAGCTTTTTTTATTTGAGGTTGTAAAAGTTCTGTTAATAATTCAGTTATTATGTGGTGGAGCATTCTTAAACCCTTATAGGATTCAGCGGTTAGGCTCACCATCTAACTGTCAAATAATATGATAAATATCAAATAAATAAAATTTTGGCAGTTTTCTACCCAATAGAATTCTATAGCATTTTAGCAGAGATTTGTCTGTTGGTTGGAGATTTGATAGTAGCTTGTTATGGTGTGATTTTTATTACTTTTAATAGAATATACCAGTGAGTGAAAGACACCTGAAATTTCCTATTCTTTGGCATTCTTTGCATAATATTTTGTTAGTTTATTTTCTGTGGTAACTTTTTATTTGTTTGAAGGATCAGTATGTTTATTTGTATCTCTCTTTATCACTTTCTTGTTATGTTCACTACTATGTATATCTGTACCGTTAAGTCCATAGATTTGGCAAGATTGCAAATAACACGCTTTGCTTTTCAGATGGTTCAAGCGACAATTGTGCTGGAGGACATGATAAAGACTGAGTACCTAAGGAATGAGTGGTGGTATTGGTCGTCATTCTCAGCTGCTGCTAAAATTTCTACGTTGTCTGCCCTTGCCCTGCGTATATACTCCCTTGATGCTGCTATCATGTATGAGAAGATGTTTCCTAGTTCAGATCCAGCGGACAAGTTGGAGCCCAGCAGCGTTCTTGACCTGAAGCTGCTTCCTATTTTGGATTCAACAGAAAGAACTAAGTTAAGTAGGAAATCTAACAAGAAAAGGAAGGAACCAGAGGGTTGATCTTGGGTTGTATGATTCTGAATTTGTGGAGATTAATCCAGACAGGGTTGGTTGGTACAGTGGCCATGAAGCAGCAGTAGACAGATTTTGTGGGTGGAAATGGTCATGGAACCCCATTTTGGGTTGGGTTAGGTTGGATCAGAATTGAGCAGACTACTAGTTTGGAAAAATGAAGGAGGTCACTGCTTCTGCTGCTGCTGA